AAATCATTTATAACATCAATACGAAATGATAGAAATACAGGAATTATTTTTTTTAAAAAATTATAGAGCTCTTAGTGTGGGTTTGATTTTGCATTTCTTTGATGATTATTGAGGCTGAGCATCTTTTTCATGTATCTGTTGGCTGCTTGTATGTCTTCTTTTGAGAACTGTCTATTCATATCTTTTGCCCACTTTGTAATGGGGCTGTCTGGGTTTTTTTTTTTTTTTTTCCCCTCTTCAGCACTTTTGAGTTTCTTATAGGTTCTGGATGTTAGGTCTTTGTCAGTTATACAGTTGGTGAGTATTTTTTTCCCATTCTATGGGCTGTCTCCCCACTCTCTAGACACACACACACACACACACACACACACACACACACACACACACACACACACGGTCCTAACACCCCCAGATCAGTTTTATTTTAAATGTGCTCTGAGGAGTCTTTCTTGTTGTTTGGTTGTGTTTTGCTGTGGTTTCCCAGCATTGTAAGGAGTTGAGTTGAGAAGAAAGCTAGTATTTTGTGGAACTGCCCTCAAAATTGAATATTTAGCTTCTGGCCACTGATAGCATCCCTCAGAAACTGTGACAATCCAAAACCACCTTCACACACCAAAAGCACCTCCTGGGGCAAAGGAGCTGTCATCTGGTCGAGAGCCATTGTTCCTCAGAAAAGGGCAGGTAGAAGGATGCTGCTTGGTTTTTGACCTATTGTACAGCATAGATTTCCAAATAAAATCTTTTCATTTGCAGAAAAGATTGTGCTGCAAACAATGCTTAAAGATCAAAAATGATTATAATGGCTAACTAGCAAAAATTTCTTCAAAAGCCATATCCATCATTTGATAAAATAATCCATTTCTGAGCTTGTTTCTGAAATAACCCTGTGAGTTCAACCCACCTTCATTGTAGCAGGAAAAATAGAGAGATCGTGACACCGAGACTATTATAGGAAGTGGCACTTTATTACGCTGGCCATCCCAGTGACCCAAGGGTCTAATGTGTCCAAATCCAGCAAGCCAGAACAGGAGAAGTGGGATCTTATACCCTTGTTTAGGTAAGGGAGGGGGTCATGTTGAGTGATTACATACTTCCTTTGGAATTTTACAAGGTTGTACTCAGCAAAATTAGACTTCTCAAAGAACAAATGGTTTCCAGGAACTGCAGGATTGTTAACCGTCAACTTCAGAAAGGGGGTTTTAGATAAGACTCTTTTCCATTTCCATGAAATGGTCAGTCTCTGGGTCATTTGGCCTTTCTTTTTCTTTTTTTTTTTTTTTTTTTGAGTTGGAGTCTCACTCTGTCACCCAGACTAGAGTGCAGTGGCCACTTCCAGCCACCGCAGCCTCGACCTGCTGGGCTCCGGCGATCCTTCCGCCTCAGCCTTCCAAGTAACCGGAATTATAGGCATGTGAAACCTGCCGGGAGGCTGGCGGGTCTTTAAAGTTGCAACTTGCCTTTTAAAAGGAAATACCCTTAACTGCCACTGGGCTAGTGGGAGATGTTCAGTCAGCCCAGGTGAGGCCAACTGCTGATCTTGAATCAGCTACATATGTTTCTGTGTTTATTTACTCAATTATACAAGAAATATATTTGAGCATTTGCCTCATCCTGCCACATCATGACCCTTCTCCATGGTGACCATACTTGCAGGCATTTCCTGAAGAGTTGTTTATATCCTTCCAAATCCACAAGACTCATTCTCCAACAATAAAAACCCAAGGGCAGAGTCACCACCCACACTATCCCCGCAGTGTGCATGTACTTGCAGGAGGTGACACACTTGGAGGTCTGCTCACCGACACAACACGAATAACCGAGAAATTATAACATTGTGAATTTTTCACTGTGGATCTAGAATTCAAAAAAAGATTATTATCTGTAGATTAGATCAAGGTTTGTTGACTCTTCAAACCTGGCTTTTTCTTGGTCAAGTTTGCTGTTGATCGAACTAGAATCTTCAGCGGAATGTAGCACTTCCATTCAGAAGACCTAGGTTCAAGTCCCTACTTTGACAAATCCCAAAGGAGTAAAAATAACCTGCTTAGTCTAATTCTCTGGTTTGTCAGGAAGAGCAAAAATGGTAAGAACAGTAATAGCTAATAGTCATTAAGACGTTAATTCCTTTCTATGTGCTTGACATTGTGCTAAGAATTTACCCACAGGGTAAATGACAGCCCACAGGGTAAATTCTTGTTATAATTCCCATTTAGCAGATGAGGAAATAACTGAGGGTCAGAAAGATTTAGTGACGTGTTCGGGATCACTCAGCTTGTAAGTGGCAGAATCAGAACTCACACCCAGGATTGTCTAGTTTCATGGCCTCTGCTCCTAACTCATGCTAATACCTCCCTAACGAACATGAAATGCATTGTAGACTCTGAAGTGCTGTGGGAATTCTAACAGTTGCTTTTATGTCTTCAGTCTGTACCAGCCTCCCCAGAGCACCCAGCTCTCTCGCTCACGGCAGGGCACCCCTCATGGTGCTTCTCCCAGAGAGCTCAAGCAACATGACGACGTTTTGGTGTCTAAGCATGTTCCTGCAGGAGATAACCAGAGCTTCTAGTTTTGCTTCAGATGAACGACCGAGCCTTAAATATTCTCTCTCCTGTCAAGGTGTCTGCCCAGGGCATTCAGTCCACGCCTCTGAACCTGGCAGTGAACTGGCGATGTGAGCCAGCGAGCACTGACCTGCGCATAGATTACAAATACAATACGGATGCGATGACAACCGCCGTGGCACTCAACAACGTGCAGTTCGTGGTCCCCATCGACGGAGGAGTCACCAAGCTCCAGGCTGTGCTCCCACCAGCAGTCTGGTAAGGAGGCTCCAGCCCTCTGACCAAAGGGCTCCTTCTGGGTCAAGGGTGACAGACTTCTTGGCATTGGTGCTTCCCATGGGAGGAGATCACAGCAGGCCTGTGGGTCAGGGGTCAGGGCAGGAAACAGAGACCCCTGTAGCTATTCTAAGCAAGAAATAGCTTAGCAGGGATTTCGGTGCTCACACAACGATGGACGTTCTGGAGGAACAGGCTTAAGGTTGCGTCTCCAGGACTGTGTCCCAGGACTCTGCAGAGCAGACCTGCCACAGCGGAAGGGAGGCAGGAAATTAGAAGGCTACCAGCGGAACCTCTGAATTCAAGAAGCCACTGCTGTAACTTCCATCCGGGGAACCTCCTTAACTGCTTCTCAGCACCCAGAAATCTGGAGGCTAGGCTGGACCCCTGTTGTTAGAAGACCCCACATCTGAATTAGGTTGCATGTCAGAGGAAGACAGCTGAACGACCTCTCCCTTGCTCCTGTCTTCCAGATCTCAGACCATGCGTGTAATTGGTAGGACTTGATTGCATTTGGGGCCCTAGCTACAAGGGAGTCTGGGAAATGCGGTGTTTCATCTTCTAGTGCACCAGAAAAGGCATGGGGCTAGAAACAGTAAGGCTACTAAGAACCAGTGGTGTCTCTTATAGAGGACTTGTTCTAGAGGGAACACTGCAGTTTTTCCACATGACTGTCAGAAGCAGAATGTAGAGTTTTCTAAATGAATGCCAGCCAGATGACAGCTCCAGCTTAAATTACCTGAATTAATTGATTAATCAACGCTCTCCATCTATTGTTTCAGCAGATGCATTCAGAATATTTTTTAACGCCGCACTGTCCTCTAAATGTTTATCTCACAGTGTTCTATTTACAATGAGAGAAGGAAAAAGAGAGAATTGATGTGTATGGGCAGGGGAGTGATAGAGAAAATTTTTAAATTGTAGCTAAACTTTCCAAGATCTGTTTTTTAAAATTAATACAATCCAGAAAAAATTCACGCCATCCATTAAACACAAAACCTTTTATGTACAAAAGCTTCTTACCTGCTTTATTTTTTAGGAATGCTGAACAACAAAGAATATTGTGGAAGATTCCTGATATCTCTCAGAAGTCAGAAAATGGAGGTAATGGAATCACAGGCCTATTTTATTTAACATGCAATGCTGAAATAGCTCCTAGGAATTAGCCAACTATGACTCAAAATGCAGATGGTCCTAAAAACAAGCAGAATATTTCACTTCATCTTTGCATTTCCTTGTTTCGGTCAACAAAAGCCAACAATTCTGCAACGAATTCTCCTTTTCCCCCTTTCTACCATGAAACAGATCGCCCTTTAGGCAGAGACCATGCTCTTAGGCAGATCCCACACCCTCTCGTCTGATGTTTTTCACTTTCCTCTGATATTAATCTTAGAGTGGAAAATGCATGGCCCTTCAAGTAGCATGCCCCCAAATTCTGAAGAACCATTCTACAGTAGTACACTTTTACCAGTGTGCAAATAAACTTGTTCGCAATATTCCATGATGAATTTCCTTTGTCACCATTTTGTCAGTGAAGCCTATACTGTTTTCTAGTAAGTCTGATTTTATACGTTAACTTTTGAATAGAATTTCCAAAATGTTATCCAGAATGCTGTGATGATGGTTATCTTGTAACAATACTCTTATTTTAGGGGTGGGTTCTTTGTTGGCAAGATTTCAGTTATCTGAAGGCCCAAGCAAACCTTCCCCGTTGGTTGTGCAGTTCACAAGTGAAGGAAGCACTCTTTCTGGCTGTGACATTGAACTTGTTGGAGCAGGGTATCGATTTTCACTCATCAAGAAAAGGTTTGCTGCAGGTAAATGTGCATCTTGAATTTCATTTGCAAGCATCATGTTGCCTTAGCTACTCTTCCTTAAAAAGGAGTAGGTTGTCATGTTCTCTTCTTTTTCCTCTTTCCCTTCCCTAGTCCTAGGCCCCATTCCAATGAGAAAGCAAACTAATTCTTGAATGAAACAAAAATAGGACAATGAACCAGAAATCAGTGATGAGGAAGGTTCTGGCTACTTATCCTAGCTCTGTTTCTCATATGGGGCTGGCCAGTTGTTCCATTATCACACAAATATGTATACTGAGGTCAACCGATTAAATCCTACTTTGTTTGACAAACAAAATAAATGCTGTTTTCCTCTGAGTTTATCTCTCACCTGAAAACTTTTTGTTTTCTGACAGGACATCATAGATTTTTTAGACTTGTCAGGCTTAGCCGAGATCTAGGAGAATCAATTTTACATTGCAATAACTACCTCAAAAAATGTAGGCCACAGAGCAAAACTGGTCATCCATAGGCTGAATGCAGACATAAGACAGGTTTTAGTTTACACAAACGATAGAGTGTGTTTGTTTATTTGTTTTTTGTTTTGTTTTGCTTTTTACTGGGAGAGGAGAATTCTCCAATATGAGGGTGATTCTCCAAGACTAATGATTTGCTGGGCTAAATCCTGGTTTTTATGCCTGTTGGATTGCTGTACTGATATAATTATTAACTGGAACCTTTTCACTCTCAAAAATGACCCAAGTTGGAAAAAAATATTACATGAGCAATCTTCCTAAAATAAGTTAAATCCTCATATCCAAAAATAAATCTTCAAGGCTATTCTGGGCAAAACTCAAACCTCTAAAAACTGCTGATCTATGGAAAAATGAAAAGGCATCTAGCTGATGTAGAAAGTTGAAAATGTATCTGGAAACTCTCTGTGTTTTATGTTAGTATTGCACCCCTAAAGTATGCAGTATTCGGCTACTAGGGATAAAGCAGGAGGAACAGAAAATTACTTATGTAATAATCACATTATTGAACTAGCTGATAACCTGTTGATAGGGTGTTTTGTTTTGCAGGAAAATACTTGGCAGATAACTGATAAAATCTTATGCAAGGATGTGGAGGATCATTTAATGGAGAACTGTTGTATGAGAAACAGGTTTTAATTTTGGTTTGATGAAAACAAACCAACATCTGCACTTGGGATGGAACAGCTGGAAAGTGGACACCTTTCAGTCGTGATCTCCCTCCCACAGTACCATGATGACCAGTCCTACAGTATTTACTTCTAGGTGTAATATTGTTAATGGTTTTAAAATGTAATTATTGTATTTGTAAATTGTACTCTCATTCCAGTAAGGCAGTTAGACACTTGAGTTTTAGCATTTTACCATTCCTGAAATGGATGTAATTTAAACTGTGGTATGTAAATTTAATAGTAGTACTGTCGAGTGGCACAATGCTTACAGAGGTAGATTGCATTTTGTCAATATATAAAATTTAAATATAATATTGCTAGCTGTCACAAGGGGGTGCCACATATAAAGAAACTTACACGGAACCAGAAGAAAAAGAAACAAGCTTACTTTTCTTCAATCCTTAGTCTGTTTTACTCTAGTGCTAAATAAAAATTCTATCTTCAAAAGTTTAGTGGGTTAAATCCAGAAGCTATTTCAGAAAAAAATTCTAAGGTTACAGCATATTCAAAGAAAAGGATTAATTACCACTTTTTAAAAAGCTTTTTTTTCAAACTGCAAATTTCATAGAAATGCAAACTGTGTAAACAAGGCCTCTTATTTTTATAACTTGTGTAAAAAGGGAAAGCAATTCATATTTAAAGTTTAAGTATATTAAATTATAATCAAGAGTAAAGAAGCTGTTGAAGTCTTAACTATTTCCCCCCTCTACAGTTTAAAAAATGTAGAGATTGCTGAATAATCAGTCAGACTGGAACCAAAATTGTGATGTTAAGATTTCAAGGCTTTCCATAGTTGGACGGGTTAACAACTTTTGCATAATTGCTCTGAACAGATGGTCTCATTCATCCACATGGGGCAATGATACCTCGTGTCTTCCTCTTTACCCACAGGAATCAAAACACTGGGATTAAGGACCTTAGGAAGAAAAATATTTTAGTCCCCTGTTTAGACCCAGAAGGAGAATTGTATCATCATTTATACCATGTGAGAAGGAAAAAAATAAGCTTTATAAATGAAATTCTATTCATGTTGTTCTGTAATAAATTTCCTTTTAGGTGATTGATTCATTAACCAGAGCTATAAATCTTTGTCTTTCTTGGAGAATCAGGTGGAGAGTTACCAAAAATTTATGTCATTTCATTGCTGCAAGATATTACAACAACCGTAATTACTGAACCTGGCCACACAATGTGAGCGTTCAGGGAAATTCTCCATCAGGAGTCTCTATCATCAGGCCTTCCCCATTAAGACCTGAGACCATTCGTCTTCCTTTAAGTCATAGAACTTATTTTAAACAAAAGCCAATTCCTGTTATAGTTTATACTATTATGTAACAAAAAATATCACATTGTTACACGTATCATTAGTTGCTAAATTTCATTTTATATCCACTCAAATTTGGCAAAGAATCTTCAGCCCCTTTAAATTTTCAAATCAAACTAAATTTTTTTAAGTCTTAATTTTAAAATGAGATTGTGACTGGCAATTGTTTGTAGTGGAACTTTTAAAATTAATATTTGTACTCCTCAATCAGTGCTTGCTACCAAGAGAATGTGCAAAAAGATCTGTTTTACCTTGGAAGAATTCTTACTGTTCAAACAAACTCTCAATTGGCTTCCTAAAGCAGTCAGGTGTTGAAGTTTCTTTGAACAAACTAATTAATGTATTCATTTTATGTAAAGATATTCAATTTTCTTTTAAAACCAAAATAGAAAGTGCAAAATTTTAAATTCCATGAAAAATGGGGAAATGTGGAACGCTAAAACCAATGGAGAGTAAGCAGCAGAAAATAGAGAATTGTCCAGCATATGGATATCAAAATGTGTTTTTAAGTAATCAATTCATGAAAAAACATATTGAATATTAACACAAAGCATATTAAAGTGTGTAAATATTACTGGCTCTCATGTCTTTCTCTTTGCATTTTACTTTGTTTTATTTTAGAATTCATCTAGAATGAATTAGTATCTAAACACAAGAGGTTTTTTTCCAAAAAATAATTTTGTTGCTGTTGTAAAAATGTAATTAAAAAACATAGATTACAATAATCTCTAACATTATTCAAATGTTTTCAGGGACTAAATTCAAAGCTATGACAAAATCCTATGATCCCTTAAATCGGTCTTTACAAAATAAAATGGGAGTCAGTGATTCAAAATTATTAAACGTTGAATAGCAGAAATCTCAATAGAAAATATATCCCTTCACCATTCAGAAAAGAGAGCAAATAATACCACGATAAGCTTGTATCAGGAACTTAGATTTTGATGTTTTGCTTTGTTCTTTAATCTTAGAGCTCATAATCTCCTGTTACACCCGTAGCCACAGTAATGTGGAATGAGAATTCACGTTCTGAAAAAATAAATGACCCTACACAATGGAAGAGTCTCAGTCATCAAAGACATATTAAGTCAGGTGCACTGTCAGTTCCTAAGTCAGAGCACCATAGGCTAGGACATAGTAAGATATTTTTAGCTCTTGGGGTTAAAATTTTAAAAATAAAGGGCTCCTGTTAACTAGAACACCATTTCCTGAACGTTATGATTTAAAAGGTTGCTGTAGCAATATAGAAAGTATGACCAATACTGCTTTATTCTGGCAACATGAAAAGTATGCTTTCTTTTCAAATAAATTCCGTATTTTCATAAAATTTTCAAAAATAAATTCTTTTTAAAAATTAGTCTGAATTTTATCATAACTGGAATTTATAATTACTACGAATTAAATGTGATCATTTTTAAAACTCTATTCTTCTCTACACCTACAGCCAAAATGAAAATTTACTATATGGTATTTGGGAATGTATTTCCCTTGCAAAGAAAAAAATGTCCGCAATTCACAAAAGGGTTTTGAGTCAATCCCTCAGTCAAACTGCATGTTTTTTGTTTCGTATATTTTCACTCAGTCTCAATTTGCAAAGTGTTTGAGCTAGAACGACCCATTTTTCCATTTCTAGATCTTCTTTTCAAAGAAGCGGGTCACACATCGGCTCTGCACCGGCTTCTGCTGTGTGACATTGGACACATCACTGTCCTCCTCTGCTGCTCATCATTACAGTGAGGGGTTGAGACTGCCCGTGGTTATCAGGTTTTCCTTAACAGCAGGGCAAGTTTTTTAATAAAATTGTACACGGAGTCATGTTAGGCAAAACAGCTCACAGCAGTGAGGGGGCTGTGCCAACAGCTTATCTGGGCTCCCCGGAGCATGGTTTAAACACCATAATACACAAACAACCTGTCAAGTGTCTTCCAGCTCTGAAGTCCCATGATTCTACTTCACTCAGACAAACCATCCGTTGAGGCTTTCTAAGGAAACTTGGACAATCACAGCAATTGACCGATAGGCGATCACAATTTATTTATTGAGTGCTTACCATGTACCAGTCACTCCAGATATTAGTTCAGTAATACTTACATCAATCCAAAAATTGTTAGTACTCTTTCTCCTCTTTTACCAGTGATGGCATTAAGGCTCAGACAGAGTGATTAACTTTCCCAAAGTAACATTGCAGCTGGAAGGAACCCAGTTACCTTGACCTCAAAAGGAATGCCTTGATCTGTTTTACTCTGTCAGTTCAGAATGAAAAAAAAAAAAAATCTTGGTTTATTTCACTATACATACTCCACTTGAATGCCAAGGTGAAAGGCACTGTGAAAAACTAGATCAAAATAAGGATAATTCCAATAACAAAACTGTTGGAAAAGAACCAGTGCTTCTCCAAGTGTGATTTGTGGACCACGTGTCTCATCGCTTATTAAAAGGGGATAATTGATTTGCCTTGGCCCTTCTATATCCCCAGAGATTAGATGAGAGTCTGCATGGATAAATTTGCACTGAATACACAAATTTCTAGGGATGGGGCACAGGGACATGCATTTTGATACACCCCAAATCTGAGAATCATTGCCCTAGTAGATCCCAAGGTCCTTCTCAGTTCTGATGTTTTATCAAATTGTAAGCGTTAAATTCTAAATTGAAAAACATTTTTCTAGTCAATTTATTTTTTACTCAGCCAACTTAAGTTCTTCCAATCTTTAAAAAAAAAAAAAAGATGGAGGGCTTTCTAGGAGTTCTCTTCTTTTTTTTTATTTTTTGAGTCAGAGTGTCACCCTGTCACCCAGGCTGGAGGGCAGTGGCACACTCACAGCCACCCCAATGTCGACCTGCTGGGCTCAGGCGATCCTTCCACCTCAGCCTTCCAAGAAACCTGAACTACAGGTGCACACTACCACGCCCAGCTCGTTTTTTTGATGTATGGTAGAGACGAGGTCTCACCAAGTTGCCCAGGCTGGTCTCGAACCCCTGGGCTCAGGCAATCCTCTTGCCTCGACCTTTCAGAGTGCTGGGATTACAGGCTTGAGTCGCCATATCTGGCCAGGAGTTCACTTTTCTAGGAGTTCTCTTTTCCTTGGAGTTCTCCTGTTGCACTATCTCAGTCTCCAAAGTAGCCGGAAGTGCATTCTCCCATGTTTATGTCTCTCTCTTTTCCTTCACTGTTGTAAAAGGCTTGAAGCAGTAGGGAGGCTGCAAGCTGTCACTCATTTCAGATACGAAGTCCTAATAAATGTCTCCTTTTTGCAAAGGACACTCCACTTCTAACTTGTGAGTTGCCCCTGCTTATCTATAGGCTTTGGACTTGACAAGTGTGGATAAGCCTCATTCCAAAAAGAGTTGCACCAATCATTTTTATGTTTTCAGAAAGTCACAAGCTGTAAGTTAAAGTTGAATGGTACAGTAAAATATGCAGGTATCTACTAAAGAGATGAGTATGTGCGTGTGTCTGTACTTAACCCTTTTCTTTCCCAAAAGACCACGCATTTGAGCTAAGTCCCATTCAGTCTAAACGCACTCATTTTGCCCAGAGTTTTCTGATCAGTTATTTTTTTTAAATGGAAGCATGATTTTTATTTTTATTTTATTTTCTAAAGTTGGAGTCTCATTCTATCACCCAGGCTGGAGTACAGTGGCGCAATCACGGTCACCGCAGCTTTGACCTGCTGGGCTTAGATGATCCTTCCACCTCAGCCTTCCACGTAGCTGGAATCACAGGCACGCACCACCATGCCTGGCTAATTTTTTGATTTATTGTAGAGATGAGGTCTCGCCAAGTTGCTGAGGCTGGTCTCAACCACCTGGGCTCAGGCAATCCTCTTGCCTCCACCTCCCAAAGTGCTGGGATTATAGGAGTAAGCCACCACTCCCAGTCAGAAGCATGATTTTTTAATAATGTCAAAATGAAAGTGATCTCTAAATATATCTTTAAAAGTTAATATAAATAAATATGTTTCCATGCAATGAGTCTAATTAAATTGTTGATATAAACAAGCAAGTCAAGCCAAGCTATATTAATCAAAGAGACTATTCTGATGACCTACCCACCACCCTTCACTGTGTGCACTGCTCTTTTGAGGCTTTATTGTCTTTTCCCTGTTCTCATCTGGCAAACGGTATCCAAACGCCATTCTCTACTTATGGTTTAAATATGGTTGCCATTCTGTTACTTTCTGTTCATGGAACGTATGGAAGTAAAATAAGATGGGAGTACATTGCTTAAATCTCTAAATATTAAAAACAATGACAAAACACCTTTCTCTTGTGTCTTTGCTCTGATGTTCTGTGGTCTTACGCAAGTTAGGGTCACATGTTTAATATTAAAAGCTAACTATCTTTCTTGAAGGAATGTCATATTTAGTCTTTTGAGTTGGCCATGGTGAGACCTCTTGATGGGCCCTCATGTTTAGTATCTGATTTCTATCTTAAATGGTTCTTCCTATGAGAAAAAGACACCTCTTTGTTGACATTCACCGTGAGTATGATACTTTAGACTTAACTCCTAAAGTTATTTTTCCTTTGACTTATAGTATTTCTGTTACCTCTTTCCATCCCTAGAGCATTACATTGCCTATCTTAAATACATCTTTAGCCTCATAAAAAGGGACATTTCAAGGAAAAGCAAATATATTTTTAAATATCCCTTAATATCTAAAAAAAAAGTGAAATATATTTGGACTGTATTTACCAATATTCCAGTTTTTTTTCAAATTGTGCTTATGTCTACTAGTTCTAGCAAGTGTTCACTGTGGTCTGAGAATAAATGGTCCTTTACTATAATCCTCACTCCTTAAATGTTAATGATAAATGTTTTCATAAAATTTAAGAAAGTTATTAGATCAGGAAAAGACTTTTTTTTAATTTCTAAGCACATCTTGTAAAACCTTTGCAAAAGTTTTCTTTTAACACCAGTTTATATAGCTTTTTTTTTTTTTTTTAGTCCAACGATCCCTCCGCCTCAGCCTTCCAAGTAGCTAGAACTACAGGCGCACGCTACCACACCTGGCTAATGTTTGATTTATTGTAGAGACGAGGTCTCGCCAAGTTGCCCGGGCGGATCTCAAACCCACGGGCTCAGACAATCCGCTCGCCTCGGCCTCCCAGAGCGCTGGGATTACAGGCTGAGCCACCGAGTCCAGCCTATATAGCTTTCAATAACTGCAAATAATATAGTCAGGAATGCTTTGAAAAGATGCTTCTGCGATTTTGTTTTAAATTTAAGGGAATTCTGCCACTTCAAATGAATTATCTATTTTAATTAATTAATTATCTATTTCACTAGTACTGCTTAATGAATTTAACTTTATCATTTAAAATACACAAAACAAAACAATGAAATTATTTTAAGCCTGGGCAATATAGTGAAGCACTGTTTCCTCAAAAGATTAGAAAATTAGCCAAGCATGGTGGCATGTGACTGTAATCCTGGCTACTTGAAAGGCTGAGGCAGGAGGATCCCTGAGCCCAGGAATTAGAGGTTATAGTGAGCTGTGAGGGTGCACTCCAGCTTGGGGGACAGAGTGAGATCATGTCTCAAAAAAGATACATGGTTTTTTCATTTTTAAGTACTGCTTTAAAGACCTGCACCTATGACACATTAAGCCCCTAACTGTTAAGCAGGTTTCAAATTCTTTGCAGTGTTGAATTAATGCTAGTGAACAATCTTTGATAGCATTTTATTAAACATTTTAAGAAACTGAATCATGATAGATCAATGTTGATAGTATTTTTACATAAGCTTGTTAGAAATCGTATGAAAAACATTTCAGTTAAAGCTAACAGTAAGGTACTTAAGTTTAGCATAGATTTTTGCAGGATTCAATACTCAGTGAACATGTCACAGTTCTTTTTTGCTTTGCTTTGTTTTGCAAATCAGTTATTTTTACACAAAATCAATGATGTTCCTTTAAAACTTTCCTGGGTAAATTGTCTCTTAACAGATAGAAAGATAATAAAGCTGAATCACTTTACATCTCTGAAAATGTATTTCAATTTTTAACCTATTCAGGGCTTGTGAATCAGCTTGATAGGTCATAAGCCAGCACGTCATACAAATGCTAATTCTCTCTCATTCAGTTTTATATTACTTTGTTGGTATTTTTTCCCAGCAAAATAAATCTTTCATGTTACCCATGCACCATCACTTTAAACTATCTTAAATAGCACACCAAATAACTATCAAAGGGGTCGCTGTCCCAAAATCCAAAGTCACCTTTTTTTTTTCCTCACGAGTTAGCAAGTTAGTTGCTAGGATGACCATTCTTATAGCTGAGTTCGTTTTTCCAGATAGTATTTAGTTCTTGCTTTTGTTAAGTGGATATGCATGAAAGAGATGGACTCCTGTCTGATTCATTCTCTCTCTCTCTCTCTCTCTCTCTCTCTCTCTCTCTCTCCGCCCCCCACCCATCCCTCTCTCCCCCACTCACTAAGGAAATTGGAAATGGCTGCTGCTGAACAATTTTTTTGAAAAAAGTCAAGTGTTGGTGTGATGATGTGTTAAGTTTATCAAAAGCATAGCTTCACTATAGGCCAAGCCATAGTTTATAGAGCCGGCTTTTTAAACTGATTTGTTTTCAATTAAAAACAATTTTTGTGTGCTTTTCACTTGTATGGTAAAAGATCTATATAAATAAAATGATCACATATTAATTTTCATTCTTACCTAGTGGCAATGTAAGGTGTTGATTTTTTTTTAACTTATAATTTGACAATAAGAGAAACTAGGAGAGGAATCTCAGAGAAATTTTGCTGTATTTCGAAAGGTAATGAAATTCTATCAGTTAAGGAAAATGTTGTCAGTTTGCAATTTGATTCGGTGGTAGCCTTTATTTAGAGTTCTCTCTGATCTGTGTACAAAAGTAGACTAAATTTCTTTATAGTCTTGCACTGAGTATATAATTGTACAAAATCTTGGGCATAAAATATTTGTAATAGGAATTGTAGATTAAAGCACTCAAGATGCTTTTCAAGTCTAGTGAAAATGTTGATGCCTGGCCTTTTTTCCTACACGTACAATTCAACAGAGTAGACGTTATTCTGACAGCCGTTATGGCGTAGTCACTGCTTCTATACTGTGCTCAAGAGAAAACCAGCAGAGGAAGCAAAGGCTTGTTGCCTCACACAACTGCAGCCAAGCTGTCTGCTGAGCAAGGGTGACATGAACGTGGTATTGACTTGTGGAGCATAATCAAGAGACCATCTTAACGCTACTTGCCTTATAAGTTAGAAACAGTGTGGTTGCTACTTTTTGGTAAATACTAACTTTTATCAATGTTTTTTCTTCATAATTTCCCCAATCACACACTTCACAGAATCCTGAATGTGCAATTATTGATCATGACACATTACCGCAACTAGGGTTCCCACTTTAGAATAAAAATTTAATCCTCTATGTAAGTTGTTATTGAAATGTGATCTTTTTCTGGAGAAAAAAAGAAAAATATAAAAATAAACTGAGTTGTGGACCTCTTTCATTGTCGGCCTCTTAAAGTTTTACCTGAATTTCTGGAAAACTTCATTCAGTGTTTAGGGTGGGAGGAGGGGGCTCAAGGTCTAGCAAAGGTCAGAGGTTGCGAGTCAGACAAATCCCAGATCTGTAATGTAACCATAGACCTGAGCATGTTACTCAGTGATTCTCCATTTTCTTATCTTAAAAAAAAAAAATGGAGTCACGCTCCCTGTGTCATAGAGTCACTGAACGGATGAAATGAGTTAACATTTATCAGCCATCTAGCTTTTCCCACCTAGTTCATAGCTGATATTCAATCAACAATTCTTTCTCGTTCTCATCTTTCTTTGTGTTGTTGTTTTTTGTTTTGGGGGGGGGTTGAGTCAGAGACTTAGTCCATCGCCTAGGCAGGAGGGCAGTGACACGCTCACAGCCACCCCAGCGTCCTGCTGGGTTTTGGCGATCCTTCCGCCTCAGCCTTCCACGGAGGCGAAACTACAGGCGCGTGCGACCACGCCCGGCTCGTTTTTGATTGATTTTAGAGACGAGGCCTCGCCGCGTGGCGCGTGTGGGTCTCGAACCCGCGGGCTCAGGCAAGCCACGCGCCGCGGCCTCCCAAAGGGTTGGGAGGACAGGCTGGGCCCTCGTCTTTCTGTGAACAGCCACTGTGAGCCGCAGACGCTCTTCGTCCGACCGTGCGGGAAGCCTGGGCTCGGCTCCGCGGCGCCTCCGCCTGCGGCTGCGCTCAGCTGGGCCGCCGGCTGCGGGCGGCATCGTCCTCCTTCGCCCTCCCAGGCTGCCGCGGCCGGAGGTCCCCCGGGGGCCCACGAAAAATCAGACAACCAAACAACATGCTTATCAAAAGGTCTATTATTTTGCTTATAATGAAAGAGAGGGATAAATTTTTTAACGAATGTAGAACTTTATAAGACATATAATTATGCTTTCTAAATCTGAACAGAAGGAGAAAATAAAAAAATTA